GCATTTACATACAGATATGGTGAATGTTTAACCACTTCACTTCTTTATGTGTTCAGGAGGCCACCAAGCTTCTGAACAAGGTCTGACAGATGTGGCTCAGGAGTCACAGCAGAGCAGGCAGGCACTGGTGACATCCTGCAACCAAGACTGACACTCCTGCTGCTCTCAGTCCTGCTCTCTCACCCACTGGTTATTCCTCTGTTCTATTTCCTTCTCCTCCTTGGCAATCACCAGCTTTGGGTCTAATTTCCATTCCCACAGCAGGTCACCTCTGAACCTTCTCACTGCCCCCCTCCCCACTCAGTGGCTGTCCCCACCCAGTAGAGAGAAAATATCCTGTCAATGAAATGATGAAATGATCCTCTTGGGTTTTTTTGTGTTTGGTTGGTTTGGGTTTTTTTTTATCCACAGAAGCAAAATTAACAATCTTTTCCTTTTTCCTCTCCCTTTACTGTTCAACATCTTGGCATAGCCAAGGGGGTGTACTTCTATTCCACGAGTAACATCCTGAACCAATAAAAACTCTTGCTAGCTACACTGCCAGGTTAGAAGAGATTAGGACAATCAGACTAGCCCCTTGTCACGAATTTTGACTTTATACACCATTTCACAACTAGGAAGCCTTACAGGATGTTAATCTGCTGGAAACCAAAGAGTGGGGGAGGAAAGAAAATGCTGCCAAGTTGCAGGTGTAATTCTGTCTCTGCATAGACAGAAATCCTTCCCCACCTGCTGACTGCAGAAAAGCAAAGCAGCAGAGAGTGCAGCACCACAACACACCCTGCCTGGCTCATTGCTCCCACCTGCAAATCTCCCCAGAGGCACAGCCCAAAATAACGGGGAAAGTTTGTGCAAACTCCTAAGGGCTCAACTCATAAACTCACATTAGAACCAGGAGGGAGAAGATCAGCAAGGAACTTCTTCCCCTTATTCAGCCATTCAACCTAAGACAATGCTTGAATGTTATTAGTTGTAAATCCCCACCAGCTTTCTGGAGGGACATTGCAAAGATGGATGCACTTTCTGAAATATGCACTTCTGCAAAGTCTGTAAGTTTATCTTTAGTTCTTTCTATTTGGTACAAACATCATAAACAAGGATTTTATTTGATTTTTTTTATTATTTTTTTTGATTGCTTGGATCTCCTTTTGGATCACAGGTGTGATGAAGAGCAGAGAAACAAGATACCTTCTGCCCTCAGCTGAAGTTAAAGACAAACTGTTGCTAAGAACATACTCTATTAAAACATGAAAATCCAAGTTTAACTACCCAGGCTTGAAGTTCATCCTAACTGATACATTAAAGCTTGAAACAAAGTGAAAGGGCTTTGCCACACATCCCAACCAGGGAAGAAAACAGCTAGTTTCTCATACATTCAAAAAAATTTGGGGTAGTGAGTACGTGACACATCCATGTAAATCTGAGGTTTTGCTGCCAGTGAGCACGGAACAGACCAGCTCCAGGCAAAGGAGGACACACATAAAATACACATCAGGTGCACATGTGTGGAAACACAATTAAAAAACACAAATTCCTCGTTTTGCAAATGAGAACAACAGGTCCCTTACAGTGAAAAGCACATTTCCTCTTTGGATAATGGGCATTTTGCCACTGCCTTTCAGAGAACCAGGACCCTACTCCAGAGTTTAATCAAGGTCTCATTGCAGTTGGTGGAAAAGCCTCAGGAGAAAGCAGTGAACTGCCATACCAGGCTGCAGAGCTGCTCTGTTCTTTATAATATTAGCAACTCTTGAAATGAACATTTTGGCAAAAGTTGCTGGTAACCAGCTCTGCTGCTTTTAGTACTGGTGCAGTCACAGTCTCCCTTTTATTGCACTTTTCAATATAATTTTACACCAGAGGCTCTGTGTGTGCATGCATGAGATAGATGGCAACCTGTTTTAAATCATGTCACATGAAAAGATGCTGTCTAAAATAAGACTTGAACAAAACTATTTCAGACACAAGTGCAAAAAGATACTTGTTTACCTTAACTTCAGCTTGGCATCTCGTGCAATTAATCATTCCTATGGAATATCTGACACAGACATAATATGCTACACACTGCCTTTATAAATAAGGGTGTATGTCAGACATAAAGACCCTCACAGCTGCCAAGCAGCAAGTGCAACATAAGTCACGTGGACTGCACAGCAATAGAGCAGATTAACATAAATATCTTTTCAGAGAAGAATGAAAAATGTAAGAGTCATCCATTGTAAATGAGGAATTAAACCCAGCCAGTCCATCCTTCCCCCACCTCAACACCTCCTACATCTTGCTGAATGGTCAACCATGGCATTAAATGAAACAATGAGACTGTCTTCTGTGTAGGAAGCACTGAGGAAAATAAACACCAACACCACCACTGCAGCACAGAAAATGAAATATCCTCACTTAGCTTTCCACCATTCCAAGAGGAGAGAAGCCAAAGGAAGTCAGTGAATTACATATCTGCATCAACAAGATGCGACCAGGAAGCGATGGCAATAGTATGTTCCAGCTTGCTGGCTTCTCCACACTTGACAAAAGAAACCAGACAAGGGCAACAGCAAGATGTCAAGAGGGAGCTCCATGAAATGCAAAGACAGAACAATTTATTTGTTCACTGCAATCCTGTCTGCAAAAGCAGAATTCATATATCCTTCTGTGAGGTCCATTTTTTTCCCCCCAGTGTCAGCAATAGTTTGCTGTGCCCTTCATGAGGCTTGAATGAGGCACCTGGAGACATCCCTGCCAAGGGAGATGGTGCACAGCTGAACATGCTCCAGTGCACAGCCCAGAAACCAAGAAGCTTCTCAATCTTTTGACAGCAGAGATAGTATACACCTGGTCAAGCTGTAGTTTGAGGACTGCAAAAGCAGACAGCCTACAAGCCACCTCCAGCACACACTTGGGAATCTGCACATCTCTTCACTCCTAACACATATCCATAGCAGGGCAGTCTGCCTGACAGAGGTAAATGGGACATTGGGAATAGATAGGAGAGACCATGACGTCCAGTCAGCACAGTGCTAGAAAAATCACTTTTCCTTCAGGTTTATTCTCTCATCCTACTCTGAGAGCATGTTATCAAATTGTTGCTTTTCCAGCCTGAAAACCTATCCTGTCAGTGCCTGTCACCTCAGCATGCCAGTGGCATTATTGGGATTTACTGCAGTTCTGTACAAGAATTCTCTGCTGTAGGTGAAAAAGCTAGAAGAAATATACAAAGTTAATCCTCTTTTAATTACTCCAGACATCTGCATGCTAATGCAATACCATAATAATTAGGATTGCAAAGTAATTAAACTGTGTAAATGCCTGCAAGAGGGAGCAAAAATTGCACACAGGAAACGTGCTTTGACTGAAATTGTTTGAGTAGCCCCACCAAAGGACTGCACTGCTGATGTTCTGCCAGTGCTAAAAACGTCAGTGCAGACAAAGTCTTTGTCCTTCCTAACCACACAAGCCCAGAAAAGCAGGGTTGGCAAGGATCTCACAACATCACTTAGCCTATCTGCTGCAAGGCTGGACTGACACTACTTACGTCACTCCTGGCAGACTGTGGTCTAATCTGTTCTTAATGGTCTCAAGTGGTGGAGACTCCACAACCTACCCAAGCAGTCAGAGACCTCTTCCTAGGATCTGACTTGACTCTCCTGCTGCACTTTAAATCTGTTACTCTTTACCCTTTGGCACACAGTTAACTTATTTCTCATGCAACATTATTCATACACAATTATAAGCTGTTATTGTGTCCCTCTGCCTCTGACTTTCCTTCTGCAGGCCAACCAATCCCATTCTTTCTTCAGAAATGATGTTATCTAGCTCTGTGATCATTCCCACCACTCTTCCCTGAACTTCCTCCAACTGTTTACTCTTGAAGTGCAGTGTCCAAACTGGACACTGCACTCCAGCTGAAATGTTTCCAACATTGGGATGTCCTGCCTGTTCTCCTGTTTAGTTACCACAGTAAAACATTACTTTCAAAACAGCTTGACATCAGTGACTGAAGTTCAGACTATGATTCACAATAAGCTCCATATATTTTTTCAAGGAACTACCAAAAGTGCAAAACTGTCTTATCATTATAAAGGGGTTCTTTCTGCCTAAGTCTACCTCTCTGCACCTGGCTCAGTGACAATCCATCCTGCTTTCACTAGAACACTTTGTCAAGCTGTCAGCATAATTCTGAATTCTAGCCTTGCCTCCTAATCTTCATGCCATCTAAAAATTTAACTTGTATTCTATTTCACCACTGAGGTCATTAATGACAATAATTATGAAAACCAGACCAAGCCTTCCCACACTTCAGTATATCTTTCCATTAGAATGAGGGACCATTAATAACTGCTGTTTCCTATGGCAACCCAATAAGTTTTGTGTTGGCTTCACTGCAGACATGTTTCCCTTGATTTTTTATGAAACTGTTGTGTATATTAAAATCAAAAACATCACTAGAAGTCAAGCTGTTTGGCCTCTGCTGTGCCTTCCCTAAATACAAGACTTGCTAGTCAGTTGTAGAAAGACATTTTCAACTTTTTGAAAGTCACAATGGCTGCTACAGAACTCAATGGTCTCTTTCAAGTGTTTACACATAATTTGTTTGTGCCAGTTTTTCAAAGAACAAAATCATTTACCTGTAATTCTCTTTTACCTTTTTATAGACATGCATTTTCTCTCCCACTCTTCCAGTACCTGACCTGAGTTCTTAGAAGAAACTGCAAATGCTTCTGAGATTACTTTAGCCAATTGCTTTAAAAACCCTGAATAAAGTTCATCAGGCACAGCTGATTTGAAACTATTAAATATGTCTGAACACATTCTAACCTGTTCTTGCCCTTTTTTAGCCTGTGATTTTACCCTCTGACATAATACCATAAGTATGTGTGAAAGTGCATCTAGTGCAACTTGAATGCATCGGTGAGAGCAGCTTTGATCCCCAAGTTAAAATTTAATATTATTTCTTGTCCTCAGGTCAAGCTATAAATGCCTTTAAATCATAAAGCACCTCATACCTTCGTTCATTGTCATCGAGGTGAGCAAAGAGCACATTCTTGGAGATGGCCTTTGCCAGAGCAGTCATAGTTTTATAGTCCTTTGGAATAACCTGTAGAGAAAAAGACAAAGGGTAATTACATGCCTGGTTGTATTTCCTCACAGATCCTGAAGATTCCACTATTCAGGATCATGGATGCCATTTCATTTCAAACACTGAGACAGGCTTAGGCTATAATATAAAGCCACTGAGAAAGTAATAAATTACAGTTTTGATAATGTGAGAATAAGAATGTTTGTTCTCAATCTGACAACCAGAAAAGAAATACAAGATCTGGGATGAGGGGGGAGAGGAAGACTCATAAAGTACTATCATTAGCAAGTACTGACAGCTGTGCAGTCTCCCTTCAAATCTCTTGGGCTGAGTAAAACATATTTCATATTCTTCTTCCCCCACAGACAATATCAGAAGAAACCTACTTTTAAAGCTAGGGAATGAGCAACATTATTTCAGGTAAAAGGTAAAAATGTGTTGATTACCCCATACTTTTCAGTAAAGGCTGTGGTATAAGGAACCAAGCTCCTGAGAGCTTGACCCACCTGGGTCAAAATCCTGAGCCTTTGCTTCATAGCAAACGAGAAGGACTCGCATTTGGGAATGAAGTGTTTTTTTTATTTGTTGATTGGAGAGACAGCAAAAGTTCTGTTGAACTTGAAGTCTCTCAAAATATGTGTTGAAATTTAGGAGTATGTTTTCATATTAATTGAAAATTTTTATGAGACTTTGGTAAATTAGGCTTTCCATTTTGGTAAGTATTTTGGTAAGATAACTTTTGGTAAGTGTTCTGGTAAACACACTGCACCTCTTTACTTGTCAAGCATCATCTCCTGCCAGTCTGAGACTTTGTGATTATGAAAGGCACAAGGTATTTGTGACAAGGTTATGACTAGTAAAATATATTATTTGACTTTAGTAATGTGGTTTTCATGAAGTTTCACCATAACAGTCCAGAATGAAGCCAGCAAAAGTTTCAAGTGTTAAATAAACCTTATTCCAATCTGAAGATGTTTGCCTGTTTTAATTACTGTACAAAAAAAGGTCTGACAACAGGCATTTATCTTTCACATTTTCTTATGATAGAAATAGTATATTTATCTTACTTAAGTTACTATATATGCTGATGTGTAGGTAGTTTCCTTTCCTCATCCTAGAAAGGCAAGATACTACCCATCCAATCAGACAGATGTCCTTAATGGGAAAAACATTTCTCACGAGGTTCTCCTAAAGAATTATGTCAAGGAAAAATACTTCACTGTGAAGATCCAAAGTCAAAACTCTGACTTCAGACATCACTTATATTGACACCTGTACTCATTAGACTCTTCAAAAGTGTATATGTATAAACTGCATATTTGTATCAGAGTGAAATGTAATCTAATCTACTTGAAAGTTTAGATTCTCCAGTGTTAAATAAAACAAGCATTTAACCAGCATCTTATTTATGGTTTCTACCCTATCAGACAAACCCTGGACTGAATTGCAGTCATGAACCCTTGCTCTATTAAGAATACCTTAGCTGTTTAGCTTACTGCTGATGAGCCAAAGAGGTAGATAATCAAATCATTAAGACATTTAATTCCAACTTTTCTGGCTGGTTATGGAAGAGTGTATCTTTCTCAATCTAAATGTGCAGCAATGAAAGCCACAAGGCAGAGACCAACGTGGGTCTGTTGGGACAGGGACACAGAAAACACAGAGACTCTTTACGTGTCACAGTAACCAGGCATCTGACCAAAATCAAATGTTGGGAAGAATTACTCAACTATTTCTTACATTACTCTTCCAGGTACCCATTGAATGTTGTCTTCAATACAATAACCCTCTTTGCAGCTAGATCCTTGTTCTGTTGTTAACTATATGCTGTGTCAGATGTGTTGACAAATGCTGCTTTCTCTAGTTTCAGAGATGAAGCAATGAAATAACTCTCCCCAGAGAGCTTCCTTTGTGCTTCTCAGAATGGAGCCATGCCATGTGCTTGCTCAAATCATAAAGCTAAATCTCCTTTGATTTTCTCCTGAGTGACATAACTCAGCGCTCATCCTCTAGCTCACCCCTTCAAAGGATCCCTTCAATTAGCTTATGACCCAGATGTGCTTCAATCCAACACCTGAATTCAAGCCAGTGGTTCTTTCTGGCTACTCTCTAAAGTTCCATCTGTTTGCAATCATCTAACAGAACCCTTGCCTTGCTTTTTTACACTTTTAAATTAGTTTCATAATTTGTCCTTTCAGTATCTCCCTTTATTTCTGTATTCCAGAAATCTCTGTCACAAACACACATCCATGGGATTTACCATGAGATTCATTTGCTGATGGTAGAAGACAAAGCACTGACATAAACTTTCCCAGTGCTACTTGTATATTCCTTACAGCATCTGTAGCCTGAAAAGAAACCATCTCCTAAGATGTTGTTGCTGTTGTTGTTGTTATTTTTACTATTATTTAAAACCAATCAATTCCTAGGAAATTAAAATCCTAACAGCCCTACTCACAGAATACACAGAATATGAAGTGCATTGCTTCTTCTGGTTCTTGCCTAACCATGCTACTGTTAGGGCTTATTGGCATCACTGTTGAAAAAGGAAGAAAGCAAAGTTAACTTCAGGTTCCATTATAAACATAAAAGAATTACTCAGGGGTGTGGGAAGAATTACTTCCTTTGACTTTCAGAAGAGTCAGATGGAGCCCACATTAAGCAGAGACAAATGTGATCTCTTCATGGAAGTTTTTAAGGAGGATATTGCAAACTGCACAGAAAGAAAAGTGTTTGAAAGTGGCTTTTAAAATACCACACAAGTTTTTTAACAGTGCAATTTAACAGTGCATTAATAGCTTGACCACAGTCCTGTTAAAATTTACTGTACACTTGCAAACATTATTTAACTTCCACAAGAATACCCTTCCATATTTGTTTTTAGGTTGAAAGGCTCTCATGTTTCTTTGCTTCTTGGGACAGAAATCCCCAGAGCAGCCAGTGAACTTGTATCATCAGTAACTGACAAAAGCACATCTGACTGCAAAGAAAAAAAGTATTGTGCCAAAAACCAGTGACTGACAAAATGTATTCCCATAAAGAAAAAGCTCTTTTGGTTAAAGCTACTCCAGGCACATACAAAAGCACATTAGTAGCATCTGTCAACCTTATGAAATGTATTTTTAGTCCAACTCTCTAAACAAACATTACATACACTATTGTAGTGGCTGCCTTTTAATAACCTTTGAAAGCCTTGGCCAGTTCACCAAAAAAAATTGCAAAGTTATCAAGAGAAATCAAGAGTATAACAAAGCTAGATATTTTTGTGAAAAATCTATTTTAAAAGAGAAGCCCAATTTAGTGCTCCTACTGTTGAAATTACTTCATTTGGGGTTGGGATTTCTTCAAAGACAACAGTCACAGAAAATTGCCACAGTATTGTCAACAGAATTCCAAAAACCCATGGGGTTGGGTGTACCAAATCAGCATAGGAACCATGAGCCTGAATGGTCTAGGGAACCTAAATTACCTTGCTCAAAGAAAACTTCAGCTAGAAGTGATTTTTTGGGGAAAAAAAAAAAAAAGGCAGGAAATGCAGCACTAGAAAAGGCTGCTTTCTAAAACTCTGAGGTTCTGACTACACTCAGAAGCTTCTGGAGTCTGAATATCAAGAAAATGGCTGAGATTACCCACCCTGTTAGAAGGGGAAACAGTTTAGCAGCACATCCCAAAAAGGAAAGAGCAGGGAATGTGGAAGCCACATGGATGGGGAAACTACTTAGCCAAGGATGCAGCAGAAGAACTTGAGGGTGAAGAAGGTGATCAAGCTGTGCATATGCTGGCATGAGGACACCACCCTACAGGCTGACCCAGGATTCCAAATGATGAACAATTTTCCTGTACATCCCAGAATCAGACAGACAGTAACACATTACCTTTCTGACGTAAGAAACAGCATCTTCCTCAGTGTACACTTCTGCACTGACCCCCCCTCTCCTGCGTCGGGCTTTTACCACTGGGTTGGGAGGAGGAGGAGAAATCTCATCGTCATGAGAATCAGACTGGGAACTGGATTTCTGCCGAGCCAGTATTTGTTTGCATTCTTCCTGCAAGGCAAAAAGACACAATGAAACATCTCTTTCCCATGTAGCTGACTTGCTGGATAGACTCAATTCACTCTTCCTTTATGACTACCAGCAACCCCTTCACGTGTACACTTGGATGCCTGTCAGTTTACACATGCACACTGCTAAAAGAACATCCAACATCTCATGTGAGCAGCACAAAGACTGACACTATGTTGTGTGCACAGGCATCACCACTCCAGTACTCAACCTGCTCAACTCTTTCTTACACATAATGGAAACCTATGTATTAAAAACTGCAGATGTATCTCTGCAGCTTCTTCTGACTGAGAAAGCAAAAGAACAAGCCTCTTTCCTTTGCTTACTCTCCAACATCACAGCTATTCTCTCACTTGGCTTGTACATATCTTTGTCTCTTGTACAGAGAACATATCAGAAGTCACACATCAATACATCAACAGTTTTCTTTATCTTGCTCTGCTTTGCAGGTTACTATCACCAGAAAGAACAAAGATGCTCCCTACTCCAGAACTTCTGCCATATAACAGCTTTACAATCAATGGGACTACTTCCAAGCAAATAGGATCCAAGGCAGGCTCCAGAGGACTATGAAAAATGATGGCTGGCATAGCACCAGCTGGCCAAAAGAGAGGTTATTCTCCAAATATCACATTCACGGAATGGAGAATAAAATATGAAGGGGAATCCCTGAAGAGATAGTAACAAGAGCAGGAGGCATTAGAGAAAACCTTCAAGAAAGTCTGTCAGAGTTGAAAGACTTTGTCAAGTCACGTCCTGCTCACAATTCACCAGGCTGCCCTTGCTGCCTCTTCAGTGCCTTCTTATATGGTTCCTTCTAGTCTTTGCTGGCTCTGCCTGAGGCAAGGGGGACCTGGAGAAGGAATGGAACACATGTCTTGTCCTGAGCTTGTCTGATACAGGAAACCAAAGGGCGGATATGATCACAGTGACGAGGCAAGTCTTCTTGTGCAGCAGTGGTCCAGTAATTTTACTAGCTGTCTTCTATTCTATTGCCACAGGCATAACCCATACACTGGTGATCTCGGGGTTGGCTTCAAGTAGGTTAGCCTACAAGCAGCCAGTTGCCATCAAACAACTCTCTGAACAACTCCAGTATTTTTGAGACAATTCAAATTAATGGTGTTGCAGCTACCCAGAAGAAAAGGCAGTAATGCTGAGGTCCCTGTATACCCCAAAAAAACAGTGTGTGTTTCTCTGACAGACATGCCAGAGCCTGGGCTCTGTCCTCCACAGTTAGTTTCCAATGAGACTTTCCACTCATGGAGTGGTTGGAGGAGGGAGGATCTGGGAGCACCAGAGCTAGACATGTGGCAGATCACCAAGACAGCCAGTTGGTCTCATTGACAGAGGAAATGAGTTATAGTTAACTCATCAGGTATGACACCAGAAAAGAGTGGAACAGAAAACTGGCACAATTTCACAATTTTTAAGCTTGCAAGAAAAACAGATGATGAATATATGTTTTGCCATGGATGTTTACAAAAGTCTGACAAATCCAGTCATGCCACTTGTCTTTTCTGGTCTTATTCCAGTTTCTTTCCTCACCAGCACTAACATTGGCCCTCTCATTAACCTAAGGAGCATTTGTCATCAATCTTTCATGTATTATTTCTACTTGAAATAAATAACTAAATACTATTTCCCATGCTGCATAATTCAAAGTAACAAGTCACACATTCTTGGTTTGATTAAGAAACTACTGAAATATTTAAGAGAAAAGCACAGAGATAAAATGCAGAGGGCTGGCAAAAATTGCAACTTGTCAAGGTCCTGGCCTGTCTCAGAAAGTGCCAAGTTCTTTCTGAGATCAGTATTTTTTTTAAATAGGGCTTTACAACACTGCAGCTCCTGGGCCATAAGACAGCTGAGATAGGTGCTGTAACAAAAGCAAACAAGCAAACAAACAAAAACACACAAAAAAAATCCAAACAAAAAACCCAATAAAACCAACCAAACAAAAAACCCAAACAAAAACACTTCCTCAGTTGTATTAAAACCTTGTTGAAACTTTTTTTTCCAATTCAGATTTCAACTGGCAGCACTGGATATGTAAAAAATTACTCAGATTAAACTACTGTGTAAGAACTGCAAGTCCTATCTAAGCATTCCCATCAACTTTTTCCCTGCTCCTCTCTGACTGCCTCTGGCTTTCTTAACTACAATTATGCACTTGTAGAAACATAGATATTTAAAATACAAATATGTGTTCTACCTACTATCATTGTATTTAATATCTAGTCATCTAAAGCAAACCTATGACTGAAGAATTTGAAGTCATATTACTGACTGTTGCAGCTTATCTATCTCTTTGCTAGTGTTGATGTTCTCTGCTTATATTAAATGAACACAAAACAAATGTACCTTTTTCATAAGCTTGACTGAAAGATAATGACCTTTCTGGACAGTAAGCAGCTAGAGGTTTACTTAAAGGTAACTACAAGAAGGCAGTCAGGTAACTACTGAATGGTATGCAGCACTTACACAGTTCTTTTTATACACAGGAGATTTACTCACAGAGATGAGTAGTAGTTTGCCCCATTTGAATATCAAATGCACACTTCTCTTTCAGTACACACTGCATAAAAGGCACTTCCAAGGAATCAATAAATAATATCTCCTCTGCCTCAGCACAGATGTACACACGAAAGAAAGCTCGGTGAGATAACAATAATATCACAAAGCATGCTCTTAAACCCAAATACCTTTCAAAGCCAAAAAGATATTAGAAGATTATAAAAGTGAGTTACCATATGACTCATTTTAGAAGGAAGTCTCTTCGCTACAAACTCCTTTTATATGAACAGCAGAGAGTTGGCTGGTTGGCTGTTCCATACGCCGCTATTTGTAGTCTAGGTAGGATTTCCATTACTGAACTAAAAGGAGCCTTTTGAAAATCAAAGCGTATGCTCTGTCCTGGGTTAAGCTTTCAAAAAGCCATCTTCCATATATCCTGGGGTAAAACTGCACAAATGCAGCCAATATTTTAAAGGAGGAATGGACTCTCTGAAGAACAGTCCTTCAAACACTGATCTTCAGACAGCTTGATGTGAACGCTCGTGCAGAACTCACTTCAAGTAAACAGCTCACCATCTTTTGTTGTCATGACAACAAGCAATCTCACTCTCTATTTGGATGGCACAGATAATTCACAATCATATTGGCCAATTATGTCCACCTCAAAATGAGAAAACACATGGAAGACACAATTGCAAAACAGTGCAATTTATTTTGAGCAAGTCCCAGTGAGCATCTTGTTCCTCCCTTCACACCAGTATCTGCACTGGCTTCAGTGGAGATGCTCCTGACTCGTAGGACATGTAGGGACTGATCCAGTTATCCACATTCCAATGCCATTTTGGGTGACCTTGCTCAGCTTTCAGCTGCCAACTGAGGAAGACATGAGTCTCAAGCTGTCCTGTGTCACATCTACCAGCCTCAGTGGATATCATACATAATTTAGGGAATCTTAAAAGGCCGTAGGGGACAGCATGTGTGCCACTGCCTGAAGGCTCCAGCAGCCCTGCCACAGTCCAATACATTGAGATATGAACACACCTCAAACCTACAAACCAACAGTGCCTGTGACAATAACTCCCTGTTTCATATATACATCATCTAATCCTACTTCTGTTCAAACCCTGCTCCAGGTGACCTAACTAAAGTTGTGAACAAAAGTCTTGCCTGGGATTTCTGGGGGAGAAGGATGGTGCATCTGGAACACCATTACTGACTTCAACAATAATAAACTGGAAAGCAAAGAAAATATATCATTGTTGCCTCAAATTAATAGAAAGAACCAATAAATACAACTGCAGTGACCCATCTTTCTTTTGAATGCCCACCTTCAGCTAAGACATATATGTTACAAGAGCCTGAGGTATAAACCACAGGAATTTTGCAAACTGTGCTCAGCATTTGGGGTCATCACTTTTCCCAGTTAATGTTTCCACGAGTTTTTAAAGAGTTTAAACACTGCAAGTGAAGCAGTCACAATGCTGAGACAGTTTCTATGTTTACTCTTCCTTTCAGACCACTGCTGAAGAGCACACATGCTTCCTGACCCAGCAGCTTTCTTCTCTATCAACCAGAGCATTTCCAAAAGAAATCTGCTTCCAATACTTCCTCTCCTGGTCTCTCCTTTCAGGCTTTGCCAGCACCTGGAAACTCAAATGTTTCAGCTGAAGCAAGGACAGCACCCAAAGAAGCTCCAAATCACTGTGCAGCTTTTCAACAACATCCCAAGGAGACATTTAAAAGCCAGCCATCCATTCTGTATCATTGCTCACTCTCCCTGCTCTGCCTCCTACAATTTTTTCAATATATTCAAAGGCAAGAACACAAAGTACACTCTAAATGAGATTAAAAAAAAAAAAAATCCTGTATTTTTTTCCTCAAGTTCACTCATAAACTTTTCTGACTGACAGACCTGGAATCTGCTTTCTAATTATCCACAGAAAATGTGCAGGGTAGTTCATGTGCATGTAACTAATCCCTCTTTGCACTGGAATTGACCCAGAGGAGATGCTCCCAATATAGGAAAGTTTCTAACACCACCCCTTCACTCCTGGAAGCTGACATGATGATTTGTAACAACTAATAAAGGCCAAAGGCAAAGCCCCCGTCTTTGTTTGAAATACAGACTGACTGATGCCATTGAAAGCAGAAGAAATTTGGGAGGTCTTAATTTCCTTTCCAGTCTTGTCTTTGCCCCAATGCCCAGCCCTACTATCTGTATTTATCATTCAGCCTTGTAATCAGACACTTTTCACACAATCCCAACTATTGCTCCACTGCCTTCCCAAAGTGAAATACCACCTTTTCATCTACGGCACCACTAAGAAATATCTTCAATATCCACACCTCCTACTAACACATTCATCCACTCCATAGTTACCCACTGCTTTCATTACTACTACTACAACCTCGATGGCCTCTCTGCATCTCAGTTCAAGCCCAATTTCCAATCTAAGCAAAATTCT